CTTCCTTGGCAGAAACACAATTCTTGAGCGCGAAACTTTTGCGTAAGTTTTCTTGGTAACTAGGGCGACAATCTCGACAACGATTAGAGCTTTAACCATTTGACTGTCGTCTAATTGTTCAGTACCGTTTGGCTAGCCTGCATCAAAGTTACAGCCAACTTGAACGACGCAAATACACACCACGCGCATTGTTTTCTACGAATCATTTCAGTAAGGTAGGTTACTTGAACAACCATTTGTTTGTGCTGTGGCTAGGTGGAACTCCATACTTGCATTTTGTTTCAAGTCTTAAGGAACAAATGAATACTCATCCAGATACGGGCACCCTTTAGTTTCATGACTGTCACATACCTAGGAGGAAGCGTGAGGAGCAAGTTACTGTCAGGTTGCCCAAGCCTTGATAAGAGCATCAAAGCCTAAACTTACCGAAGACAAGAACTTTAGTGACAAAAATAGGGTTCATTGTGTTCCCCTCATATTCACCGATTCACTATACAATATAAAGATCGTGTGAATTTCGAATACACAACTTTCAATGACTTTTTTTAGAGACTGCGACCTGAGAACAGCTTATTTGGACTTGACACTACCGCAGGATCCTCTGCTCGTGGATGATTTACGTATCATTGTCTCCGCTTCGCAACTGACCAACTCCGTCAACGAATTGTGCAATGTGTTTGAACAAGCTTCCAACGGAGTGCTACCAATCTATATCTATGCTATGGAGTCCAAGCTTCTTACTTCATGGGTGAGGAGGGTTGTTCCTTCACTTGGTGTTGCGCTTTGCAATCTTTAAACATGCCTTTCATTCACTGTGCTGCACATTAGTTCTGACGTCCGCAAACGAATGGTGATGGTTTAACTGCCAATTTAAACTTTATTCTATGAACCAATTCTGACCAATCCGAAACTGACAGGTTGTAACAGAGTATACTACTAATGAAGCGTGCGAGTAGTATCAGGTCAAGTGCTCTGTCTCCGAATCGGATGGATGGTTAGTACGGAAGTTATGGAACCCTGTTGTGGTACTTGTTCAATATTCCTAAATGTCCATAAGAACGTCTGGAAAAGTTTAAGAGGACGCCCGAAAATGTTCGCATTTCAAAAACTCTGTACATGAGATTTTTTCTGTCGTGTCTAATAGCCTGTAATCGCTGAGTTCGTGTTGGTCAACAAAACGACTTCGTCATGAGGGAAATGCTTTCCTTGAGGGATAGCAGTTTGGGAATATTCTGTGTAGATTTGTTAGAACTAACGCTTGGGAGCGCCTTCCAGATTTACTGACGCTCCGTTAACACGCGCTTGTTTTCGGCAACATTCAAACTTTACTAGTAGGCAGAGAGGAACTTGGCACACTTCATGATGCGAAACCAAATAATTCGAAGCTAACTGGATGTAAAACGCAGTCAAGTTTTGACTTTTGAAATGTATCCGATAAGACTTGTGTAATCTTCCGTGTAGAGTTCCGGAAACCGTACCTATTTTCGGCTTCGTCACATAGTTGCAAGAATTGAATGGCAAAAGATTGTCCAAAATGAACTATTTATTTGCGTCACTCGCCTGCTGACAAGCCTCCACAGAATAACAGCTTTATTTCCTACTTGAATATTTTCGTTTTTCGTGCTTATCGGTGTAGCTGTCTTTTGGCATTATCATATTCGCACACATATCGCCAAGCATTTCCATCTGCCTTCAGTGGACCAAGCTCCTCATCGACAAAATTGTCAGGAATTTCTGCACTACTCACGTTGTTTTTGCTTTGTCCTCCCATGATGAATAGAAACTTGAAAAATTGGTGAACTGCTACTGAAATCCGAAGCTGATTTTCACTGTAAGGTAGGTAGGGAAAAAGCTGGGCAATGGACGTTGGAGCCACCAGTTTCCAGTCTAATGGGCCATTTATTAGAGGTGCTGACAAGATTTCCAGGCTTTTATCGAAATCGTAGCTTTTGATTTCTAGTGCGCTTCAAAAATTGACTGTTCTAGGCTAGGACAAAGTACGAGGTGACGATTAACCAAGTCGATCGATTGCACGACCAGTGTGTAAGCATGACCCGACTTACTTGAATGTCTACCTCGCTGTCCCTTGTTACACCCTTCAGTCGTCACAATACAGCTTAGGGTAGATCGTAAGTCGGATAAGATCCCAAGTCAAAAATAGGTGAGCCTTTTACACAGGGTCACTGCTCATGTTTTGTGACGAATCTTTTGTGACGAATCAAGGTCGCAGCACAAAAGCAGTCAAAACAGTGGCATGGGAATGAACCATGGTGGGGTTACACCGATCGATTACTAATCACTTTTGTCTTACTGTCGTTCAGTACCAAAACAAGGCAAGTCCAACAGAACATTAGACTCTGGAAGACTGAAAAATTTGAACATTGGATCTCCAAATCTTTCAAAATGATATAAACGAATAGGAAAACTGGATTAACCCATTCGAGAAGGACAACTTTGTTATCAAAATGCCGGGCCAAAATCTCATAAGAAAGATCCGAGGCAGTTTGCAAATGTGTACGCTCTGGAGTGCGAACTTTTGGTATTTATCGGTGAACTTTTCATATCTGTCTTATTTTTATCTGTTGCAGCCGTCCTTACTGAGTAAAAAGTTTTCCGCTTCCACGCGAGTCAACTTTCATATCCTTGGAAACTACTATCAGTCTCCCGCACTTAAGTAACCTATAGAATCAGACTGTCTTTCATCTACTGGAGTAGTACGCGACTAATAATGGCTAGAAATTGTTTATCNGACTGGACCTTACCGTGGTGTGACGGTTTGCGCACCTCAGCGATCCATTGAGCTATACTGGAGAGTGTCCCGCGACACTCACAGAGTCTCTCATACCAGGTTGGTCAATGGTTAGAGGTCTGACGAACACAGTCTCCTGGTCCTCTAGGTTGGGGTTGGAACATGTGGCGACTTGTTCCGTAGAAAAGGTAATGCATTTGCATTTCCCACCAAACACCGCTACCTTGCGGTTAGGCGTTTGAGTCAAAGGCTTTGGTTGAGGACCCTAATCGTCCTTCTATCTAGGTGTGAGCGCCCTGGCAGTATCCCAACCCACGTACAACCATGAATTGCACATACACAAATAAATACGGCAGTGGAGCATCGGTGCTGAACACTCATGTCATGCTGTCGATGATGATGATGATGATGTTGATGCAGGTTCTAGTGCAGTCTGTTAGACTTAAGCGTCACCACCGGAAGCGTTGACAACGACGCCGTTCTGAGAACATGGGTGTTTATTTGTCAAATGACAGTAGGCTCTGATGAAGATGCTCTCACAAAATGGAGTTCTAGAGTTTTACTTGAAGCATACTAACCAGAAATTTAACAGAGGAGATACTTGAAATTCCGCTGAATGTTGAAGTTTTTCTAAAGGCTTTAGTTTACTACAGTAAATCGTGAGACAGAGGTCAACGAACAAAGCAGTGGAGCAATACATCCAGCGTTGGAAGCAAAGTTATTGACCCCACAATAAGATATTGCGGCGTCGTTAGTGGCCATCAGTCTACAATTAGCTCAGGGGAAGAATAACTCTACTTCCATATGAGATATCATCACTCGAGTAGCCAATCAATAGATGACCACGTGATGAAGTGTCCACGACTGGAGGATGAGTGTTGCTTTCGCCCGTCTAATTGTGAGTTAATCCCGATACTGATCAGCCGCTCGTGGTCAAATGAATCAGTGTTCAACCCCCCTGGGGGGTGTCGTGAGTTCGAAATTCCTTGGTGTTTTTTGAGATACGCATTGCTGATGATTCCCCAATAAGGATGAAACAGCTATGCAGTGCTTCTCAGCTTTTCAGCAGTACGGAACGAAAACGCATCTGGAAAATTCCAGGTCTTTTCACGCTACCATCGGCTTGAACATGGTTGAGAAGGCAAATAGTGCACCGAGTATATGTTAGGTAGGGAATAGCCTTCAGAGTGATGGGTGTGAAATTAAAAAGCATGTCCCGTTCAACTTCGTTTATAACTTCGTATGCAGTTTCAGAATGCACTCGGCAGAGTTGATCACAACGTTCTCGGTAAAAACCGTTTTCAGTGTGTGTAATTTACCGAAGGTGAGATGAGAGTGGATGTAGAACAGGCGGTAAGGTTATTCCGGCCGGCTGATTCGTTGCCTGCTAGTTTTTTCATATTCTTTCGGTTACTTAGTGGAAGTCATATCAAACGAGTGTAAACGCTTGCGAGCGGTCCGCAGGGTTGCGAATTCCTCAGTTTCATTAGTGTTACCTTCAACAACATGTACATGTTTATTTCGACCCGGTTTTCGCAGTTCATATGATTACACCTCATTAATTGACGCCGATTGCTAATTATGTGGGTCAGTTAGCATGTGATTAGTTCGTGTCCGGATAGAATCTATGCGGTTTTCTCACCGAGCTTGGTGTAACTGGAATGTGCACACACAAACTGCTGTCAACGTTTTGCCAGAATATTTGTTTCGTTTTACGAACATTTGATCCAAATTCAATCAGTGTGGAAACACGTGGTTCCAGTACTAAGGTCAACGAACGAACCGGCGTTTCTCCATACACCCGGAGGACGGAGGAGTGGGACGATACGATACTTATCATCAGTGGGCTGAGGAATGATGTGGGTGAATAGAGGATTATCTGCAGAGGACAATGCAAGTAGACGGGTTATATTGAGCGAGAGCCAATCACAGTGCCAAACGGTTAAGTAAGTGACGAGTGGCCGGAAGTTTGCGGGTTCGAAACTCTGATTTTCGTGAGGTGCGCAATGCTGGTGTTTCACGACGAGGATGAAACATGTGTACTATGCTTCTCGGCTTTTCAGCACGGACGGGCTTCACTGATAGGATGAAATCTCTATTAAATTCGCTATTGACTTTAACCGGAATAAACGTCTTCCATATATTAAACTTCATACCTCGACTGTTACTATTAACCATTACCTTTCCGAATTCCGAAAGCCGCACAAAAAGTAGTGTCTAGGTCTTCTTTTCATAAAGGAAACTACTCACAATGCTGCTGAAAACTCTTCGACAGCCCACGACCGGTTTCGCCCTTCTTGGGGCTCATCAGGTAGGCGCCGTCCCCGAGTTTCCGTCAACCTTATGATCCCAAATTGGACTGTTTTCGAGAAGTACACTCATTTGCAAATCGATTCGGTTTTCACGGGAGAATCGGCAAATTTCCCTGTTGAGGCAAGCCCACTTCAGAGGGTTGTAGGACGTGACCGATATTATAGCCCAACATTTTTCTTCAAACTGAGTAAGAAACCGTGTAATTCCTTACGCAACAACAGATAATGTGTCCTAACCAAAAGTTCTATTTGGTTGCTGACTGGAAAACGATAGGACCGAGCATTAGCTGTCACAGTGAAGGGGAAATTGCAACAAAGTTGTGTAGTAAAAATCAAATTTCATCGACAGTTTTTTCGATTTAAGGGATACTGATACTGATCAATCCGAACCGTAATGTAGGCAAAACTTAAAAATGACTGTTTTCGCTTGTTCAACGCTTTTTTGAGTTCTAATCACACACCTTGGCTATGTTTCGCGTAAACCCTATTCGTTTTTCCAAGGATTTGATAGAACTGTCCGAGCTGAGACGTTTGGCTAAAGGGCATCCAATATTGTTCGTTGTGGTCCCAGCGAGGGACTCTTGTGGCGAGGAAGTCTTCACAAACTGGTGCACCATTGCGGATTCGAAAGCAAGTGAAGACAAAGCTACCTTTCCCTGGGAGTCAATAAACATCAAATATGTTGGACAGCTTTTGGCCGACCATTCGGAAGAGTTGTTTCGGTCGGTCTATCAACGCGGCCATCAATCAGATTCCTCTGACACGCGAGACGCAGAAAGTCAGCTGATGGAAAACAGAACTGATTCAGCTTGGACCCAAGATCACCCAAATCTTCCATCCATCTTGACAAAGCTCGGATTTCTTCCAAGGCCCAGTGGAACAGAAGTGGGGGAATCTGAGGGACGTAGGCCAGCCTCGCCCGACAGCGGCAATTCTTCCCTAGCCGGTTCGTTCGCAAAGCAAACAGATGGGACACTACTCCAAGAAATTCCCTCGGCAAATTCTTGCCGTTGTTCATCACTAAACGAGGTTTCCGGGAGAGTGGAAAACGAGTAGGTTACAAACGAGGCTGAATGCCTGCGCAGTATTGTTTTCAGTACGTGGTAGTTTGTACACGAATCTTATTTATCCGTAACCAGACCAGGCTGCTTTGCCCTAGGAAGACAGTCGTTTGAGAGGCGAGCTGCAGGGCGGTGTCGTCATGACTGGAACGAACTCTAAGATTTCCGAACTCCAGAAGTTTGCTAACTGGTTCTTGAGTTTATCCCGGACGATACATTTGTATCTATGATTTTAACGCGCTTTCCGATGTCACTGTGCCTCAGAGATCGCTGTTAGCATTTGAAAATGTTTTACAGAAGGCTACCATACGATAGTGTATTACGCAAGTTATCCCGGAACATTTGTATCTATGATTTTAACGCGCTTTCCGATGTCACTGTGCCTCAGAGATCGCTGTTAGCATTTGAAAATGTTTTATTTACGGCTACCATACGATAGTGTATTACGCAACTCACTCTTACAGGCACTGACTTTTTCCATTTATTAGCGTTACACTGGCACAGATAATTACGGCAGGTGTGAAGCAGGCTACCAATTGCGTTTCAGAACACGTGTTGGAAAACAGGCTAGT